CCTTTATCAACAATGTCTAGGAGCATTAACAATACACCCAATGTAGATATTTTCTTTTTGTCATTTGCACAATTCAAACGTGATATTCTCAGCACACTTCCTAATTGATAATTATACATTATGTTCTCATCCACTTAGTATCAATTATGCTTAGTATAGGACTACTCTTATCACATATTATTAATTTTGTACACCTATTAATGGGCTCTTGGGCCTGTTGGATGTATTTTTTGAAATAAATAAATAATTAAATATATACATGTTCATGCAGAGAGACAAGCAGAAGTGAGTTTTCACCAGATTCCGTGAGGAAATATATTTTTTTGTGGAAGATAAACATATAAAACCAAAAACACATGTTTTTGAATTTTCCACTTAAATTCCGAGGTAATGTGCAAAAAGTGAGAAACCAAATCGATGTTATCGATTCTTTCATTACTTACAACTTCGCTATTGTAGTTTCGCCAGAAATCGGGATAATCTGTTTTTTCCCCATGAAACCTCACCCCTTTCCACTTGCCGACCTCGAATCGTTCGTAATTTATTTTGACTTTCAGCATATTTATATTTTTTTTTCCAATGGGTCTTCTCCAACTTCAATTTCATAAACTATATAATATCAATCTTGTTTCGGATCTGAAAACAGGTTCTCACTAGATTCTACTAGTTGACTACTACACTGAGAGAAACTAGATATTGAAAACATCTATCAGCTCTGATTGTGATAATCATCATGAAGACATAAACTATTCCTGATCATTTTGTTATTACAACAATATTCTCTTTATTCTCTTATTATCAAAATCGTTTCCTCAAAATATCTGTTTTTTTATTGGCATAACCTGTTTCGTGAATTATGCTTATTGGTGAATTCAGATATTGTTTGTCTCAACAGTCATAGCTGTTTGGGTTTCTAGCATTGTACGTTGACGGATAACTATAGCAATTCAAATGTATGACGTAATATTCGACAATAATTCGACAATCGTGATTCGGCTTATCTCGCTCTAGTTTTTTATCAGTTTTGGGTGACATCGCTACAGATCGCGTTCATTTCCACTTTTGTTCTCGGTCATGGATGCCCGTGTTCAATCATTGTCCAATGGTTTCAATCGTACGAATCGATAAGCCGTGTCGTGTTGGTGAAGGTGTGTGATGAAGCAGAATTTTGTTATAGAGCTCGCTATGAACGTACATAATAATACAAAGATGAAGCTGGTGTATTTGAACATGGACTGTAAGTTGTAACTACGATGCTTTTCCAGGGTTATCTATCCATGGAAGAGGCCCAGAAGTATTCATTTCCTGATTTGATCAAATATTTATGGTTATTAATTCAGTTGAGAATATGACCGCCTCATTGTTACTTGAGTAGAAGATTTCATGTACTCATCTTTTCAGGTATTAGTATGTTTTCAAATAATGTTTGAATCTTGGACCATCGAAAACTTGCACTTGAGACATTGAAATATTTGGGGAAGTTATTTCTCCTTCAAAGAGAACATTAAAAGTCCTGGAGATAATTTTCGAGTAGTTTCGTTCTGAACAGTTTGTTAGTTATCAATGTCACAATTTATTTGTCAGTGTCACGATACTTTTTACCATCACACCTTGATTCTTTATACAGGAACATAATTCACTCACGCAAAAAAACTCTGATTTTCGCTAGTAAATTATGCATACTACCAAGTAAAAATTTGCATACTATATGGGACAAGAACTCGCTTCATCAACCACAAGAAAAATGATATTTCTGAATCTGAACACTTGATGGTAATAATGTAATTTCAGGAACACATGTAACCCACTAATATTAAACGCTTTATAAGAGACAGAATATTTGTTTCATTGGCCTCAGTCTTCTTCCTACTTGCTGTTATACAGCGAAAATATTGGGTAGGCGTGCAGTACGATAAGTAAAAGTGACTTGCTTCACTTGGCCTAATCGAATGACTCACTTGTGGTTAGTGTACTTTTTACTTGGAGTTATACAACGACATTATTGGCTTTGGGTATTTATTTTGATGACTTCAATTGTTTGCTTCACTTGGCCTCATCGAATGACACTTGTGGGTAGTTTATTATGTCCTACTTCGGATAGCTATCATCCCATATGTGGTATCAGAATACACCATCCCATATGTGGTATCCAAATACACCATCCCATATGTGGTATCAGAATACACCATCCCATATGTGGTATCAGAATACACCAGACTTATTCGAACTTTTTTATTGCCCTCACTCCCAATTCACTCGGCCTTCAAACATAAATATGGACTTGACAACAATTCTCGAATTGAGATCCAATCACTTGGTAGATTTCAATGCAAACAAAACACAAGCATGTCTTTCCTCTAAAAAAGCCGATCTCACTGTGTCAAATATAAGCATGTCAGGAGTAACCATACCTTTGAAGACATCCATTTCGATGCTTGGTATTACTATCAGCAATAACCTTTCTTGGGAAAATCAATTGCTAAAAGTGCATCCCAAAAACTGGGTTTTTTGTTTCGGGTCAGTTAGCTGCTTATGATCTATAAGGCACAGATCTGACCTGTCCTGGAATACTATTCCCATATTTGGAGTGCGGCACCCAAACATACCCTGAAACTGTTGGATTCTGTTCAAAAATGGGCAATTCGTCTCGTATGTGATGCCTCACTCACAAAGTCACTCACTTCTCTGGAACACCGTAGAAAAGTTGGCGATCTGGCTCTATTTTATAGATATCTTCATGGACGATGCTCTTCCAGAATATCAACAATTGTACGTCCTTTGGCAGTCCCCGTGAGATTAACCCGTGTTGAGACTTCGCACCCCTTCGTGGTCACTTTGGAGACCTGCAGAACGTCTCTTTTCAAAGACTCATTCATACAACCAACAGCGAGGTTCTGGAACACATTGCCATGGAAGGTGTTTTCCGAGGCATATAACCCCGAGAAATCAACCCGTCGAGTTGAGACTTCGCACCCCTTCGTTATCACTTTGGAGACCTGCAGAACATCTCTTTCCAAAGACTCGTTCATCCAACGAACAGCGAGGCTCTGGAACACATTGCCGAGGGAGGTGTTACCCGAGGCATATAACTCCCAGGAATTGAAGAAGAACACCAATTCCTACCTTATTTTCCCTGGTTCTTACGATGTTCTCTGAATATTACAGGATGTCCCTTTTTTTGGGAACCAGAACATAAAAAAACAAGGATCGTTTGTAATGTATCATGCCTCTTTTTTTACATCACCTTGTTTCACAATAAAGTGAATGGTGCAATTTTCCTGTTTGAAATCACAAAATCACAATTGATGCCACTTCATAACTCTGTTGAATGTCTAGTCTGAATTCATTATAGATGAATTGATGAACAGGCAAGCACTGACATTTATCGTAAATTATCACAAACTTTGGTTATTTGTAAAACAGGGAGAACGTTCTGAGCAAATGAAGGAGATGAAAATTTGTTGAGGAAAAAAGGAAATGAAAATTATATACATTTTCACAAGTTTTAATTGAACAAAAATCCTACTTCATGATATCAATTCATCCTACATATTATAAGCAAAATATAGGGAAGTTTCATTTTATATCTTTCCACCCTGAATGGCCTGAAAATACCTTTCGTTCTACACAGCAACAACAATTTTCTAAGGAGAAAACGAGTCGAATCAGATAGTTAAACATCACTATTGATTGTCCAACTCTCGGCCACCTCTTCTAGGAATTCTGAATGGCACCCCCCATACCTCTCGTGGTAATCAGCCAGCGTATATAATAAATACAACACCAAAAATTATCTCACGATTTACCACGGCCACCAGTGCATCCTTACACTCAGCACTCTCGAGAAGTCATAACGAACTGACGCTGGTTGGATTCGGAAATATAAAAGACATCTCGGCGATTGTTCCCGATCACTTTCGATTGATATATCAGGTCAACATGTCATATTACCGTAGGAATATCAGGTTTAACCGCAGATAAACGATTGCATTGTGCTCGTAACTCGAGTTTCTGTTGTAATTATTTTCTTTCCAGAAACTCGAAGTTAATGAATATTAAAATACACTTCACCAGCGCTTAAAAAATGTCGAGCTAGGACTATACAGAGTGAATCATCTAGGATGAAATCTATTAGCTGTAGGTAGATTATATCATAGCTACTAGTTCAAGCGTTCAGAATCATCATTTTTCTAGAGGCGAAAGGTAATTGTTTTTGTAATAAGTATTATTTTTCATATCACAATACGAAACGGGTCTAGAAAACGTTTTACTTGGACCATTTTCTTCCGTGCGTATTTCCAAAAATGAAGTTGATGATAGATCTTTGACGAATACTAGAATATGTACCACCAATTAGTGGTTTGGAAGAGGTGCAGTGAAGTGCATCAGGGCCATGCAGTATTTTTATAGTGAGATCTTCGTGTTTATGCCAGGAACTCTCTTATCATTTTGACAAATTTTTTTTCGCTATCTTTGATCATAAAATTGCTTGAATTGCAGCTAAATACGAAGTGGCTTCAAAGAATCTTTTCTATATGTCAGATTCAGATATCATATAACTATACTATTATGAGACGAATAACTGCGTTACCTCGAGATGGATTTGCAAGTGATAATGACAGGCTGTTTCATGACCATAGTATCATATCCAATGTAGAGTGGATTAGTTACTGCAATATAGAAATAATTCTTTTTCGACCCTCTGAGTTATCAAAGGAACTAGAATAAGTGGAAGTTATTTAGCAGCGGTGTTTGACAAGTTTGCGAATTGAATATGCTGCCATAACTACAAACCCCTTGGAATTGAACTTGATCTATGGTAGCAAATGAACACATCTCTCCTCTATTTGTTGCAGATATCATAATAACGGTTATCACATTCCTTACTAATATAACTCAAGTTTTTGTCAATGTATTGATTGTCCTACAACGATACTTATGCTTCACTGGAAAACAGTTTCCTCACTGATAGATTAAACATATTTTTCTCCAACACGTACCTTCTCGATTATCTGGCTGTTATACATCGTCAACAAGTTGTTTTCTCTCGATAACTTTTCTACTGCCGTCTTGAGCGTGCCCACGTACTTGTCCACGGACTTCTCGTCCCCCCAGGAAACGACTTCCTGCTCCTGAACGAGCTTCGACAGTTCCAACGCACTGGCAAGCATCATCGGCTTCTGGGACGGTATCATCCGGTCTCCGATCGTGTTGTGAAAATTTGCTATCTAGAACGACAAAGATGAAAAATAATTGTCGAAACATGTCTCGAAAGTGAAATTAATGAGCAGAATTGCCTGCACACTTCGCCATTGAACTTGTGGAGACGACTTATGGTTTGTTTCTCTTATTTGATCATCACTCTCCACTGGGAGCATGGACTACTTCAGATGATTTCTTGAAATAATTATTTGTTTCACTAGGCAGGAAAGTAGTAGATTTTCAACCAGGAAAAAGCCAATACTCGAAGTGAAATGAAATGGTCAAAGACACCAGTCGGGCAATCAGCCACCTGCAGGGAGTTTCTATTTCACGAATCGAGTCGAATAGCTCCCAGTAAACACACTCGTAATATCAACATACATATGCCGTCAGTTTCATGTAACGCATTTTCCAAAACTTGATTCCCCCAAATTTATGTCAATTTGTTGCAAATTGTGGATACAAAACTCACATACTCTTATTTCCCTTTGAATTCACAGCGCTGTTGCATATGTATAACAGTGATATCTCTCTCACATAACATTCTTACCTATTGAATATACAGAGTGTTAACAGATAAGTGTCACAACGTGAAACTCTAGATTTTCTATAAAAAAAGAGATTTTTTCCCCTTACGAAATTTTTCTCTGGGCTCTCGATTTTAAGATACAGGGCGTCAAAAAAAAATAAGAAATTCAGTTATTTGCTCTTATCTCAAGAACCGTTTTAGCTACGGAGCTGAGCCCATGGACACATTTCATCATCAATGATGACTATAGGTACTCTTAAAGCTCTTGATCAATTTCCTTGGACATGTCAGTGGCGGAGAGTGCAACGCCTCGGATGGGTTTAACTCCCCAAACTTTCATGCTACTTGAGAAATTGTGATTTCGGAAACACATTCTGAAGCGCCAATATCTTTCACGTCCTCTTGCTCCAATGCTCTGAAGTGATCAGTTTCAGAAGAAAATGGCGATTTATGAATGGAAAGGTTCAAAAGACGGTGGCTTGGAAGAGGTGGTCCAGTAAGCTGGCCTGCCCGGTCACCTGACCTAACACCTCTTGACTAATTTTTATGGGGTCACATGAAGAGCCTAGTCTATGAGAATTCGGTTAACACTTCAGAGGAATTGACGGCCAGAATTGAGGCTGCAGCGCTCGAAATTGGCAACATACCTCGAATCATGGACAACGTTCAAAGAAATATGATTCGTAGATTCAATGCTTGCATTGAAGTAGGAGGTCGTAATGTTGAACAACCATTTTGATATCTGAATCATCAAGGTGTGGAAGATTTTTCTTTCAAGTTGAATTAATTTTTGCTGTAATTATTGTCAATGATAACTATAGTATTTCGATCATAAGTTCAATATTTTTCGAAAAAAAATTATAGTAGGATTTTGTGAGTTTTTATTCACGAATCGCCATTTTCCACTGCAGAGCATTGAAGCAAGAGGACCTTTTTTGTGTGAAAGATATTGGCGCTTCAGGATGTGGCGTTACGAGGCGTTGAACTCTCTGCCACTGACATGTTCAAGGAAATTCATTAAGAACCTTAAAAGTTATCATTATTGATGATAAAGTGTGTACAAAGGCTCAGCTCCATAGCTCAAACGGTTCCTGAGATAAGAGCAAAAAACTGAATAATTTTTTTTATTTTTGGCGCTCTGTATATTGAAAACGGGAGCTCAGAGAAAAATTTTGTGAAGGAAAATATTTTTCGTCCATGAGGAGTCGGCAGTTCTTCGTAGTGACACTCAATTGTCAACACCCTGTATAACATCTTGATAAATATGATTATGTTCATACAATATATAGGGAATTAGGTCAATTTTATAGAAATTGATTCACATCAAATGTATCTTCAACAAACGGACGTGAAAACGACCAATCTGATTGCAGTATATCTCGAGTTTTCACGAACGAACACGAACGATGAATAATCGAGCTGGACTCGCTCGAAGATCGGAGGGGTCTCGTCAATTTCGTTCCTCGTCTCAAGTTACAATTGGAATGGCGTCAACGTTGTTATGTTTTGTTGTGTCATTCATCCAGAACCTATGGAAGAGGTGCGTCCCTACTGGATGAAGAGAGATGAAATCACAACAAATCAAGGAGTATTGTTGTGGGGCCACAGAGTGTTAATCCCGGCAAAGTTGAGACCATCGATATTGAAAGAGCTCCATGTAGCTCACTCAGGCATAGCTTAAACGAAATCATTGGCCAGAAGTTATGTCTGGTGGCCTAGACTTGATGAGGACATTAAGAAGTTGGTTGAATCTTGCATTCCTTGTTTGCACTAGCGACCAGATCCAAAGAAGTCAGAACTTACTTTATGGCCTGCAGAATCAACAGCATGCAGAAGAGTGCATGCAGATTTTCTTCTTTCAATAAGAGGAGAAATGTTTCAACTGGTAATTGATGCATACAGCAAATTTCCAGGAATATATCCACTCAAGTCAATGACAAGAAACGGAAGAAAAGCTGAGAGATTGTTTTTCCAGGTACGGACTACCAGAAGTATTTGTGACTGACAATGGGAAACAGTTTGTCTCTGGAAAGTTATAAAAATTTTCATCAAATAATCGTATCCACCACATCACAACACCTGTTGCACATTCTCAAAGTAATGGACACGTTGAAAAGGCAGTGCAAACCTTCAAAAGATAAATGAAAGCATCACTAATGAATGAAGCAAATGAACATGAGAAACTATCTACACTGACTGCAAAATTTTTGTTGAATTATAGAAACACTATCCATGAAACAACAAAGGAAACGCCTGCTGAAATTATGTTTGGTAGACAGTTGGAAACAAGGTTTGAATTCTTGAAAACAAAAATTAGAGAACAACCAACAGATGTCACTAAAAACATAAAAAAACTCACAAGAAACAAAAGGGTAATTACAGTGCAGGTGGAATAAGGAATTTTCAAGTGGGGGAGAGTGTGATGGTAGGAGATTACCGAACAGTAAACCAGAAAAAATGAACAACAGCAAAAATTGTCAAGAAGATAGGAAGAACAACATACCGATGCCAGTTGGAAAACTCAAACACTATTATGTCAGTGCCATTGAAACCAAATTGTCCAGAGGACCTTGGATGTGGAACCAGAAGTTGGGAATACAGGTCTGGAATCAACAGTGGAAGCTCAAGAGGTTGCTTCAAGAATTGCATACCGACAAGTCAACCCAGACCAGAACACTAGGGAAATCATCAGGAAAAGTAGTGAACCGGGTGTATTCTTTCATGAACAATCTAATACTGATTCACGAAATTCAGACTTTTCTCAATTTATAAACATTCAAACGAATGACAGTGAGGAATCTCAAAGACTTGACGACCAATCTTCTGATAATAACGATGACAATGCTAATATGCACAATATTCCCAACAGGTCCAATCTCAACACGCAACCAGAACCACCAGCCAAGGGCGGAGTCAACACTGAAAGAGGAGGGAAACATCAGGAAACTGTAGACAAGTCTCCATTGGAGGCGAAATCAGGAGACATCCCAGTAAGACGAAGTCGACGAAGCCGGCAGACACCAGCAAGATACGAAGATTTCTTAACATTGTAACGCAGGAAATTGTTTTCATGTCAATTTTTATCGTGTATTTGTGTTTTTCAATGTGCATTGTCAACTTAGGGACCACATGGATAGGATGTATGGAAATCAGGGCAGTCACTTGTTGAACTACTCTAAAAATGTAAAAAAAATTGCTATCAAATTAGACAAGTCAACATTCTCACAACTAGTGAAATATTTCTTCAGAAAACACACTAGAGCTATGTAAAACGAGAAAATCACACTTTCATGTAAGCATACATACAAAATGAGTCGAATTTGGTCAAACAGTTGATTAGTTTTGATCTGGATAGGCAGATAATCAAATGATATATCAATAATATGAATCATGTGAAAATGTATGTGTTAACGATAGGAGGAGGTTTCAAGAGGTAAACCACTTCAAGTGATGCTCTGTTGCTAAAAAAGGTTGTTTTGAAAACATTGAAAAATATTTTATAAAAAAGGAGAGTTTTCTTTCATATCTATACAAGTCAGCAATTCAACCAAGGGATTGTCACGTAGGGTGTGATGTTAGTCACATCTTAATAACGCACATGCGTATTTAGGCTATCTATACCTTGCACAAAACAATGCGCGAAGTAGAACAGTGCTATGTAAAATATATGAGATATTTATATCCCAACTTCATGCTCCTCAATCAGACAAATATCCACGAAATCATTATTTTCTGAATGTTCAACAATAACTTTGTTTTATCTCTTGGAGCGCACGGAAGGAAATTCCTATTATGTTCGTGGAACATAGTGCGTACTTAGGGAGGATAGGGGATGGCCATTTGAACCAGTTCTATATCAAGCTGAGCATATTTTCATTTTAGGACTATAGTTTTTGAAGTTTGTAGACAAAAAACTTGTTTGCAACTCGAGCGCGAAATACCTTGGTCATCTCGACTATTTTTTTCAGATCTCGATCATCAAAGTAGCATTTCTTGCTTTAGATACAAAAATAACTATTCACCTGTTCTAGAATTCTAGCAAACTTCATGAATTTCTTGGCATGCTCACTGATATCGTCTATGACGCTTGGAATGTGGTATCCCATCGCTTTCAATTGCCTGACTTCGGATATTAGCACAACGAGCCTGGGAGAGTAGTTCACTCGCATCAGTTTCTCCTTGGAAAACTGGACCACTGGGTCAGATTCCCTCAAGCTGAAATGAAAGGACATCACATAATATAACATATATCATGAGAAACAATTCGGAATACATTGAAGGTAATTTCGTCTACAGAGTTTCGAAAAGAATTTGCGATAATTTTAACACAATCGGAGAGGTTGATTATTGTTATTTTCTAGTTGAATCCCTCATTGATTCATCTTTGTGCCAACAGCATTCTCAGTCACAGACATTAACAACTTTTGCCTATACATATTCAGTGATAGTTTCATTATTCTGGTTTTATTCATTACTTCATAGGGAAAATAGAGATAGCCAGTCAATGAGTGAAATCTACGTAGTTTTCACTCTAGAAAAGTGTGCAATCTTCATGATTTCTCACGAAGTGAATATTTCTAATTAAATGCTGCTTGGAATTGTTTTTAAGATTTCGCAACTACGAATACATTTTCTTGATAAATCTCACCTCCTCAAGTGAACTTCACTGTAGTTGCATTGATTTTTAATCAGTAACTGAGGTTTTTACGGCGTTGTCGCTACTTCAGTCATCACCTGATAATTAAGTAGATTCTTGGTTATATTCAGGGTAATTTATTGCTAGTTTCCACCACGATAATTTCTAGCCATGAGTGAATCTTACTCTCAGGTCGGAAACCTCACTTCCAGTTATATATGATTAGGCTAGTCGAAACTGACCCAAATAATTGCTGAATTTGCATAACATGAAGAATCTCTGATTTCTTGGTATGTTATGTGAACCCATCAGGGTATTGTGTTCACACAAGTTCGCAACTCTCGAAATGTTGTGTGGGAAAAGTGTACGGCCCGAAAAACCGCGACACTTCCGGACTTTTTTCAGTTTGCAGTCTATACAGGGTGTTTCATAACTGAATGTCAATATGCGAGGAGGCGATTCTTGGGCCCATTCTAAGAAGGAAGTTTCATATGAACTTATGACCTAAACGTCCTAACTTCTGAGATACAGGGTGGCGAAGTTCTCAAAAATCAATATAGTCTACTACAATGAATAGTTATGATTTCAAAATACCAAATACGAATACGAGGTTCATAAACTATGAATTGTATCTCTGAAATTTGATCTGAAAAATAAAATCAATTTCTCTGCATTGTGATATTGTCATATCAACGATATCACTATAATCATGTAGTCATGAAAACATTGTAGTGATCAAATCTGCTCAAAAATGCATATTTCAGGAATGAATTCAATTTCGAGATAAATCAGTCGTGTACCATCATATCCTGCCAAAATAGGTATGTGAAGTTCCATACGAACGCCACTAGTAGCAACCAAAAAAATGTGGTACACTAACTGATGCCTCTTGATACATTGTACATACATGTATGCCAAATTTCATTAGAATATTGTAACAGTCTAAAATCTCATTAGAATTATGATTAGGAATTTACTCAATTTCAACAGATGAACTAGTATGATTTGGAATATTTATCCAAAATAATGTAAGGACAACAATAACAGTTTGATTCATCATCACAGTTATCTATTGTTTTGTTATACTAGAAATATTAGATATTGGAAATACAATATTCTTAGGGTTTTTTTCTGGGGCATAAAACATCTACCCTTTTGCTATTTATATGAGTCCCGAGTGAACCTCGCCGAATATTCGCCAGGCTGTCCAAACTTCACCTCAGTTGGAAAGTTACCGCATTTGCTGTTCTTGGTCGATCTTCCTAAAGAATAGATGCGTCATCTGTAGTTTTGGCCCAGCTTATGGATGAGTATTAACCTCACACAAAATTGATGAATTTTTCTGCCTATTATTATTATCTATACTGGACGTACTACCAAGTGCCATATTTCGATAAACTTTGTATTTTGCGCCCCTTTACATTTACTTTACGTATTTTCTGTTTGTGTTACGTTTAGGCTGTGGGAATCACAAACATCAGGTTGATAATTCTGATTATTATTGGCTATTAGTAGATATAAGTACTGTTATGTCATAATATAAAATCAATTACGTGTGCGCCTTATATAGCTAGCTATATTCGGTACTACCCTGGGTATTCATCCCCAAACCTTCTCTACTGATATTTGATAATATAATTCGTGTTCGTTATATCAGGAATACCAACATTGTGATTTTGGATTTTAAGTGTCGAATAAACCATTTTGTGGGAATATCATTGGTTACTTTAGTTTCCCGTTTTACTTATGGCTTTCTAGTTCACTGGCGGCACAGAGGTATTTTAAAACGGGTGGCGTCCTATAATTTCACGATATTTTTCAATTTGTTTTGAACCCGCTCCCACACTACTGAGCAAACCGGCTGCCTCTGGTCAGAAAGCTAGGTAGTCATTGTTATTTTGAGAAATGTGATATTCATAATTTAAAATATTTCTTATGGAGTTGCACCCGTTACAATATCTGGAGTGGTATTATAGATATTGTTATTAGATTTTGAGAACTTCACCTCCCTGTATCCCAAGAGTTAGGACGTTCAGGTCATACGTTCATATGGAATTTTCTTCTCAGAATGGGCCCAAGAATCTCTCCCGCAAATATTGACATTCAAATATGAATAGAATGAAGAGATTTTGTATCTCGTGTAAAAAAATTGAAAATTTTGAAAATTAAAGAGCAGAACTTCCATTTCGGACTCAGTCCTGCTCTTTAATTTTCACCCAACACAACAAAATTGCATTCAGGATCCGGCTTACTTTTGAGACTTGAGTTTGGCCTTCGTTCTGAGTCGGGAGGTATTCTGGTGGTTTGTTTGCTTCTGATGAGGCATTCGTCTACAGGAATTCTCCTTGGACTTTCAGTTTGAACACCAGGACTCTTAAGTCTTGATTGGAAACTCTTTTCTCTTAATTTTACTACAAAGGTTTACTCTTTGGCCTGGATTGAAGTCCACGTCATCTTATTTTACTTTTCAGAATGTTTTCAAAATTTTTAGACAGTTTTCTGCTCACCTTGTCAATTCTTCCTCAAGCGCTTTTTTCATTATGCCACTTGTCTACTTCATACACATGTCAACTAAGTCATAGACATTGACACTCAGTCACTGTCAACAATTTACTAAAGTTAAAAATTGTCAAACATTCTCCAGAATAAATAAGGTTAAGGTCCCTCGTGCTATTTCTGGACTTGAACAAAACAATCTCAACATGTATTTTTGAAAAATTTTACAATAACCCATTAGGGAACATATTTGTTAAATGTATGTCTGTTCCTAATCCCGTTTGTACCATAATGATGTCGGTGATCACAAATTTTTGGACCTTTTTGTAAATACTTGACGAGTAAGTAATCTACCATTTTCGATTTGTTTTTTGAAATTTCATAAATGTTACTTACTTGCAGGTATAGCACTGATGATGGCTTTTTAGCCGAAAGCGCTTTGCGATTTATAATAAAAAAATTTACACGAAATACAAAATCTCTTCTTTCTATTGATCAGTTACGTGTATGCAGCTAGTAAAAATCTTCACATTCAAATATGAAACAACCTGTGTATTATCCTAAGCTATGAGATTTACTACAAAACGTTTCTACATTTTGTCAAGACATTAAATGCTCAACTAGAATTCTGTAGGTCAATCAATTACCAGATCATTGAACATTAAGAAAAGGCAATTTCATCATGAAGTGAACATTTTTGTTTAATACATTTCTCAGACCGATAATGTGGCTACACCGTTGGTCCTACGAGTGAAACTCATGGAATGAAAATTGTTAAATCTCTCAAAACCTTTCCTATCCTCCTCCTTTCTTGTGTGGTAATGAAAAAAAAGGCACGCAATCGTTTGAAAAACAGTGAAATGTATCTCCTCACAACCTTCTACCCCTTCAGAGCTTCTGAAACTTCTTCCTTGCATATTCAATAAGAAATTCAGAGGAACAGTACTGTCTAGCTCCTGTTGATAATTGGGGCAACTCTGTCTATCTTAGAGCTTCCAATTATGACGTCTAGTTCTTTGAGAACCGATAGCTTATTGTTTATTCTGATACCACTCAATACTGGACCACTTCTGTCTAGTTGAATGAATATGAATTCCATCGTTCCGAGATATGCACTTCCATTTTCATGAATGCATTGGAGTCAATTTTCAAAATATACAGGGTGATTCCTGAGGAAACTCACATAGCCGAATGATGTATAGGAAAAATCAAGACGAGTCGATGTATGCAGGGTGTCCCTAGATCAGTGGGACAGGAAAATATCTTCTGAACCAATAGGAATTTTCGAAATATTAAAATTTCACATCATATCGCATTATGAGTGCTAACTTCAGGAATGACTATATTTTCTACGAGGGGCGCAAGAAAGGCTCACAAAATCGAACATAATATTTTTCAAATGGAACACCCTGTATTTCATTGCATTTCTATATTCTTCCTGGAGGGCTGAATTTAACGACCTAGCTCACTTGAGGTCTAGCGGAAATGACTTCCGAGATATACGGTGTGGAAAATCGAGATTTTTCATTTTTGTGAATTTTTTGTGTCAAAACTATTCATTATTGGTCTAAACGCTTACGTGTCCATATCTTAACTTTTGATTTACTATTTACTCGTATTCAATTGAAACAAATACAGGGTGGTGTAGAATTCTCAGTTTCAGTCAGAATTCTACACCACCCTGTATTTGTTTCAACTAAATACGAGTAAATAGTAACTCAGAAGTTGAGATATGGACTTGTGAGCCATTTCGACCAATAATGAATAGTTTCGACAAAAAAAATCACAAAAATGAAAAATCTCGATTTTTCACATCCTATATCTCGGAAATCAATCCCGCTAGACCCCAAGTGTGCTAAGTCGTTGGATTCAGCTCTTCAAGGAAAATATGAAAATGCAATGAAATACAGGGTGTTCCATTTGAAAGAATCGATGTTCGATTTTGTGAGCCTTTCTTGCGCCCCTCGTAGAAAATATAGTAATTCCTGGAAATAGCACTCATAATGCGATATCATGTGGAATTATAATATTTTGAAAATTCCTATTGGTTCAGGAGATATTCAACTGTCCTACTGGTCTAGGGACACCCTGTATATATATGAGAAAAATTTCAGGCATCCATAACGATTATGTTGAAATTGACACATAACTTCGATTGCCGATATTTTAGGAATGATCCATCCAAAATAAATGGAATTTAACAACAGCGTTTCTCTACTTTACAGTTTGGCTTCCTATGTGTTTTCCTTGGTTTTTTTAACTACAATTTTTTCAACTGAGTGTTGTTGTAGATGAATACAACGATCTTCGAGTACCAAGCTTCGAGCTCCGAGCGTCTATCGAAGTCGAGCGAAAGCAAAATCTGCGAGTCATACAAAGTCACTTTTGATCCGAATGCAACAAATATTCCCTGTCGTGAGAATCTTCTACCTGCATTACCAGATCAGGTTGATTGAATCCTCAAGGATGGTCGAATTGTAGTTCCAATATGAATACAACCACAGAGTGACCCATTTCTATATGGACCAGGTGTCAGCCCTAATAACAAATACCGCGCCTGTGCCAGGTATACGAAAAAGATGTGGAAAATGTTAGGATGGTGAGCATATCAACAAAAATAATAACGTTCATCTAATTCTCTCCATACTCCGCTATATCTGGCTCGGTAATCAAATTGAGGTAAACAATATCGTTGTGTGGGACAAAAAACTATTGATGGTTGTGATAATTCAGAAACAATTCATCCAGCCCGAGAATAACGAATAAAACTCAGATCAAGCAGATATGTGAATCTCGAAGGCTTTCCTGATCAAAACAAAAATACTCAACTATAATATGGTGTATATCTCCAGCATGGGTATGAAATGCAAAATCTATCAAAATCGGAAACGAATCAGGTATTTGTTCCAACCCAAACCACAAACCGTGACAATGTTGTTTATTCTTGATGACCTCTAGTACATCCTCTTTAGTTGCTAGAAGCTAAAGTACAACTATAACTCCTAGGAACTGAATGTGTAAGCAACATACCAATGTTTGTGTCAGTAAAAAATACTTCAATTCAATAGCTGATTCTGGTATCCAAATGGATGACTTCTGAGTCGGTTGCAGAATAATATATTTCATTACGGGTCTGAAAATAGGGACTTTTCAGTGCGCGTGTGACAAATCAAGTATCGCAAGTAGGTACGGAAAAATCATTTATGGACGAGTAATGAACGATTTCTCTTATTACACCTCGTTGAAAATAAGAATTTAATAATGAAATATAACATAGAAGAGACACAGAGGACACCCGAAGCACTTTTATTTTCACAGTTGTGGGAATGAGGCAAACTTGGAACTACTAGACCTGGAATTCACTGGTAATAAATTCCAATAAATTCGCGGTCGTTAATACCACTTGCTCTAGGATATTATCAGGAATCATGGTATTTTTTCCATTTTCATTCATTTTCAGTTCATTTTGTCGGCATAAATTTGATTGACAGAAAATAAACAATGCTGACAATACAGTGTCTCGCATGTATGATTCGTTTCCATGGTTTCACCGTGCGCTGTTTCCGTAAGATAGCCCGAAGAAGCCTATGTTACAATATCACTAATACAGATAAAAACAAATTGATTTCAAAGAAGTGTAATGAGAATAGTATATTACACACCGGGGTGGAAAGTGATTCATTCCTGTCGTGAGATTAGTTAGTTAACCGAGACGCAAAGCGTCAAGATTAGCTATAATCTCGAGCCAGGAATGAAACTCTCGACCGAGGTTTGAATACTATTTTATTTACAACCATCATATTTTTATCAAAATTGATAAATCTATGTTTCGTTCTGAACATACTCGAATTATTACATGAGTGAGGGAGGGAAGTAGGGGCGGGAAGTAGTGAGAGGCGGAAAGTGAGGACGGGAGGTAGAGGTGTGTAATGTGACACTTCCCAACCTTCAATGACGTTAGTAATGACAACATTACATATATGGTTGTGAATAAAAGATATTTTCTTGTGGATCGTTTATCATATACTAACCTCAAAGTGTTATCGTTGATGTACCCGATGATTTCCGAACACCAAGCTTCGAACAGGCTCTCGTGCTGCTGTTTCAGCTCTCTCGCCATCTCCTCTACTACTTCGCTCAGGTCCCCGTAGTTCTGCAGGTCGCTTAGCAACTTCTCAGACACTCTCCTCACCTTGATCAATCAATCAATCGATCATTATCAAAGTTGAAAAGGTGAACAAAGAATGTCAGAAACGGGATTCCACAAATCAGGAGAGTACAAATTGGACGGTGCTACTCATCCTGAGGTTCATATTGGTCAGATAGGTGAAACATTGAATCACCGCATTCATGAACATCAAATGATATTATAATTCAACATGATAATACTGATTATATGGATAGAAAGCAATCATAGATTTGAATACACTTCCAAGGTCTCGCAAGTCGAAAATGAAGTGAGGTATCTTGTTAAGCTTTCTAGTTTCAAGAATTGTGAAAATCTGTTTCTTACTCTCTAGCTGTCAATATATCAGAAATATTTGCACATCGACTAAGAGTACATTGTTTGAAAGATACTCGATATTCTGAGTAGAATTCGAGAAGGTACAAATATACAGGATGTTTCATGAGAAATGAATATTGTTCTGTGCTCAAAATATGCTATTCGGTCTCAGAATATAAAATTTGGGGTGGGATGTTTGGAATATTTGACAATAAGGAGGATTTGATAAACATCATGCTCCTATCCCACTTATAGTCCAAGAGCCGGTGCAAAATTTCAACCGTCATCTGATAACGAAATGAATCCCACAAGCACGTAAAACCATTGTGATTTATAGAACGGCACCTGTGCCTATCACTATCCTGAGCAGAATTACTGAAAAATTGCACTTCTCTGTGTGAAACAACATTTGAATTGGAATACAGGTAGTGTGAGTACCACATGAGTTTCACCCTGGTACATTAGATATTATCTCCCGAGGGAGAAATATCAACGATCTGCCACTAACTTAGACCAGTTTGAATCGCGGCACGTTTGGATATTCGCAAAATGGACATTTATTAGTTCCATTAGCCTCTTGTTTCGAGTCGTTATCACATGACGAAAGTATGTCCACACTACTAGGGGCAAATAAATCGCTGTGCCGTGGATTTGGCACAGAGTAAGGGGTGGCACAGGTAGATTTTTGGTACAGGTGCCATTCGATGAACTACAATGATTTCACTTTCTCTTTGGAACATGTATTATTTTGTTATCAGATGACGGTAGACATCTGCAGCCGGCTCTCCTACTATAGGAATTAGTGACTTCTCTCTGAGCGTTCCGAATACGGAGTTCATCAAGTTAAAACTCCTTAAGAGGGGCGTTACCAAGGTCATTTCACAATGGCTGGAATGCAGACCTCTACTATGAAATGACTTTCGGCGTTACCAGAAGTCCGATTGCCAAATAGATTGAATCATCATAAAGACGAAAGTTCCGAGTCGGGTTTGGATAGTTTTGAAGGCAAATTTCGTTCGATTAAGAAAGCTGCAGAAGATCAAAAAGATGTAAACATTGTACAATTTTGTGTCTCAGAATAACGTTATATTCACTCATACCCAGCGTTATTTTTTTGGGCAACCCACACTAGAATTTCAGTTCTTGAAATGTAACCATTCAGATGAAAGTCTTTTTTATATACAATTTATGTAAACAATAGGCCTATATATCTTGCATGGATAATATCTTCTCCAAATTAGATAGTAGAAAACTTGAATATCGTAGTTCAGGTACTCTCTGCTAGATGGAGGTACCGTCGCAGCAGTCGGCTCTAAAAGCATCTAATCTAGTACGTTTTGCGCGAACTGGATGATGTACCATTAGATGGAGCTCAAAATGTGAAAAGTTTGTTATCCGTTCAAGAATGCCTTTGCACGTTCAAGGATGTCGAATATTGAGCAATAGCAAACATTTATCACTCATTTTTTAATTCACGAATGGCGGTAATATGGCGGTAAATTCGAATTTGTTAGTAATAGTTGTACTGGATGTGCTTCTAACGAGCGCATCACGGACGTGAGATCATGAAAAAAGTTTATAGAAATCGAATTGGAGTGAATCACAAAATTTTATGTCTCAACAATATATGCTTCCATTTTTGGCGATTGTGGAATAAACTGGTCAGCGGATATCAATATATTACCTGCTCATAAATTTGATTGAAATTCACGAACCCGGACCAGTGTTGTCACCTTAGTGTATTTAACCCTAGAACTGAATCTGAATGGGTCTGTTTGAGTGGAATTTCATATTTCATCATTTAGAATTACTAAATCAAACTATATAATTCACTATCGGAAATCATTTTCTTGTTACAATTTTCGAAATTTTCATTATTGAAATTATACTGATATTTATCACATGAAAAACGCGGAACATTGCGTCCGAACATTGATCCGACCTATGTATTACCGAAACTTGGAGTGCCAATAATTTCCTTTGACTTTTGTGGGGCGGCCGACTCGGTGCGATTGTCGGCGATAGGGCTGCCAAGCCGTTGTTTGTCGCCCTAACAACACAAGTACATCCTAGGGACTTCCCAGGGACGTCCCTAATTTTATACAAGGACATCCCAGAGATATCCTTTGTCGGGACAGAGAACATACTAGGGACGTCCCAGGGACATCAGCTGGCTGACAAAAAAAGCATCCAAGGGATTTCCGTCTGGTACGTCCCTGGGATGTACCAAGAACGAAGAAAGGATATCCCTAGGAGGTCGCAAGGATATTCCAGGGACATCCCTTCGACAAAAGAAGAAAAATTAGGTCGAGTAGGGTTTGAACCCGGGACTTTTAGCTTATCAGGCACGCACCTTACTCCATTGGCTGATATGCCTTCTGAAGATTTATGTGTCAAACAGATTTTTAAACAGGACTAAACTACAGAAACCTGAATAAATACAACTTCTTTAGAATTTGGGTATAATTATTATCATCATTCGTGGATGTTTGAAAATGGTCATTTCTTGAGAAGTTTTGAGAAGATTTTCTTTATTTTCATTACAATTATTTACCGGAAAAAACCAAACATTTTCATTAAAATTCAACTCAATATTTTCATAGAAGTCAATGACTCTGATGTGAATAGATATCAGATATTCCAGGGACACGAATAGGATAATCTATGGATGTACCGGGCCGGATGTCCACTGGACAACCACCCCTGGATACCCCAATTATGTCCTTGTACCGTGCGACAAAAAGGGTACATACCTAGAACATCCCTGTGTTGTTAGGGCGGAGATTCTGAGCGTTCCGTAGTCTGTACTCCGTTGTTCTAGAGCAGTAAAATCGATTCTACTCAGAAAAAGTTACTGGTATCACAAAATATCTACGCCGACTTCATGATTATATATCGTGGCAGAGATTGTGGCATATAGACTGGAAATGTAGCTGTTTTCTGTTTTTATCTCTTCTAATATACCAAAAAAGAATTCATATTTTTCAACAACTAGATACCTACTGTAAAAAATGGTTCATAAGCATGCAGTTTCAACTCTTGTAATCCAATAAATTAATGAATTCTATATATGTTCCAATAGTTATGACTCACTACCTGTATATTATGCCTATTATAGATGATGTATTTTATTTCATTTTTATATTAAACCATTAACAATCAAAGATTCAAAGATATCTGACTATTTATTTTCTATCTACTGATGAGACTCTAATGAGAAATTATTATATTCAGATTGATTATATCATCAATATTTCGTAATGTCTCAAAAATACAAAACAATAATCAACGAAAAAGGCGTGAGATGTTTTTCCAGATATACATATATATTGGTCTAGGCAAAGTATGACAAGTTATTCACGGGAATTTAAAAAAAAGCCACGGAGTAGGAATCCAACTGAGTGAGAGATCATAATATGTTCTTCTCTCTTCCGCGAGGAACCGAGGGGAAAATCAATACTCGCATCCCGTTGTTATTGTTTTGGTTGCCGATTGCGGATTCCCCATATACGTCCATGGGATTCACCGACCGTAGCAAACATTTTTTTATCGGAACCGGTCGGGCGGGTCGGGTCTCATCGTAGAAGACAAGGATAAACAAACATTTTTGGAGCGATAGCACGCGGTGGGATGGGATCTGTAATTCTGTACAAGAGTGAAGTAATCTGTACAATTAGTTCCGACATGTTCTGTGTGCCTAGTGGAGTTGCTACCTCACATTGGCTAAACGATAGACGAGGGGATGAGCAGGGCATCGACTCGAAAATATAACACAGGTTGGGCATCTTCCCAGCGTAAGCGTAATATATCAATCAACGACTGAACTATGTTGAACATAATATGATTCATCATTTATCCATCTATCGGCTGGAATTGTAAGTAAATGTTCTGTCAGCCGTCATCCGTCATAATGTTTTGTGCCCTGAGCGCCCTAGGTGGTCCAATCGGCAGTCGATTTGAATTGTACTAGATCGATGCAGATTTCTGTACTGATATTAGGCTTCGAAAAATTGAAGAGCTCTGCATTGAATTTTCAAGATGGCGTAATTAATTTATGATTTCTTCACCGTAGTGACATCTTGCGAGAAGGTCAGCGTTAAAATGTGGAGGCCCGTCTTAAGTAGAGGATCGCTCCTTATTTCACTCGCAGTCTCCTCACCTCGTTCGCCCTTCCTTCTAGCTGCCTCACCAGAGAAATCTCTCGCACGACTTGCGGCGCATCGAGTTTGGTGGGAACTTGGAGGTTTTCCGACGCACTCTGCGTCTGGATCTGCTTCACGTAGTCGTAGAGGGAGACCATAAGGAACTGGCGCTCGATGAGCAGCTCCTGTCTGAGGATGGGCCGGCCAATGAGCTCTGAATATCTGGAGTACTCGTAGATCAACTGAAACACGAATTAGGTAATTTTGTACATCTTCCCAGCTTGTATTCATAGTGAAGACTCAATATTCGAAATTATTAATCCCTCTAATTAAAATAGAGTAAAGTCGGAGATTATAGAATATATCCGTTAATATGTGATACCCTATTTCGACAAAGATACAAGCGACGACTTTCTCAATTTGATTGATTCCATTGAGTTCCAGTTTTTCCACAAGTGTGTTCTTCCTATAGGTATCTTTTGTGTCTAACAGTTTTTATATCTAATTTCTCAGGTAAGTTTATTGAATTCATATTTGTAACACATTCATATCATTTTTTAGTTGAGTAGATGAATGATTCAAGGAATGTCCATTCATAGAGACATAGCACTAGATAATCTATATTTTTTTGACTATTCCACCTCAACCAATGGAATATTATTTAGTATTACTCGACTTAATAGATGAATACTTTGAAGAATCAACAAAATGAAATACAATGCAAAACACAACTGCACAAAGTGAGAAGTGAAATGAGGAAGATGAAAAAGTGCAGTGATAGCAGTTTAAATCAGAATAATGGATATATCCATTCTTTCATCCACTATAGTGAATACAGAGCCCAAGTAGTTAGTAGACATCAGATATAGCTGCTACTGGTATTCCATAGTATTCGATCATGTTTTCGACCAACAGAATGATAGTTTTTTTCAATAATCCAGAATATTTTGTTGTTGTTTATATTCATCTGAGTTTTTTTTTCATCGCATGGAGCGCACAAAATGGAATCCCTATAATGTTCAAAGAACATCGTGCGTTCCTAGGGAGGAGTTTATTTCATAATTCGGTCTGATTCATCTTTTGGCAACACCGTTATCATTTCAAGGTTTTATTCAATACTTTCCGAAATAGGTTCCTCAAAAAATAGAAACACGTATAGTATTATTTCTGTTAAAAATCTAGCGATATATATCTATTTGAAAGTCCAAGTACTTCGATTCTGCACTTGTTCACTAGAAACCATGGTGACCCCTCAGAGTGCAATCAGTGTTCCTTCCACTTTCCAAATGAAATTATCTGTTTTTCTTGAATTAGATAAATCAAATCATTTCATCAGATCAAAGAGCAGGTTCTTTCGCAAGCCGAACTGTGGTTACTACGTAGTTGATACCAATATGGGGAACATTTCACGAGTAAATATAACGGTTTGCCAAAATTCACAAAACAACGTAATGTGGAGTTCTCCGACGCGCTCTGCGTCTGGACCTCAGCCACAAGGTACAATTATTGTGAATGAAACATAGGTTACAAAAAATGTGTAGTCCATCCTGTTTTTATGCTCTCTCGTTGAAATCATTTGAATACTGCTCGCGCCGTCGACAGTACTCTCGTATGCAACCAACTATACTCTGACGTGCAATAAATGTGGACAACCCACATAACGCGTATGGGTAACTGAACTCTGTATGATTATTTCTATGCAGGTGACACAACCCTTATGCGCCTGAAATAGTGAAAATGAGACGAAGACGACGAATCGAGGTGACAGGTCACCTTCGACATTTCGCTGCCATCATTTCGGCAGGTTAATCAAATAAAGGGAGGAGATATTGCTATTCAGATTACTATCATATTTCTATTTTATGAACTTATATCCAAACTAGACGTGGTAGAAGTGGTGCTATTCACCCGGAATTGGTTTCAGCATGCCCCGCCGCGTCTAAATCAGGTTTTAGTTGTTTGTCAGGGTTTTACTCTCACCGCCGGACCCGGAAGATCACTCACCGAGTGAGCTTATCGGCTTCATTAGGAAGATGGATCGACTTGGTGAAGTATGAATTAGTGTGAGCCACAATAGACCCTTATAGGTCGCAGTGGAGGGCTGAATAGACTAACTTAACCTCACCTGCTGATAACTATTTCAGGATATTTCTAGTAAACTTGTTGAAGAAATTGATCGATCGAGGTTTCTTACCTGTCTCGTATTGGCATTGATGCTAGCGAATTGTTTCTTCAACTTAATGGCTACTCGTTTTTCTGCAGGCTGAATGTAGTATTCAAACCGTTTCTCAGCTTTCATCATCTCATGAGAGAGATCTTGATTATAGATATGGAAATTGATGTCTGAAAAAGAGTGATCATCAGATTAGTGGTCAATTTCTCTATTCGAGAACGAAAAGAGAAATCAGAAGTCAGAGAACATGTGATTTCAAATTCAGAGAAATCAGAAATGAAATAATCAACAGAATAATGGAAGTCGGTACTCTTAGTAGTGATACATCATGAAGATATGAGCCTTGAAAGATATCCTATGACGTTCAACAAAATATGCAAGAATGAGCGAGTGACTTAATATTGAATTATTGAAGAAAAATAATAATGAATTATTGGCATTAGATTACCCCACTGAGCTTTAAGGGACCTGAATTCATACTTGCAACACTTCATGTGCTCTTTATGTAAAATGAGTGTATGTCTTATTCGAAATATATAGTTGTACTTCAGAGCTCATATCAAACGTACCGTCATGGCTGCCATTCAGCAATGTTCTGCGATACGTCGAATAAATGGTGACGTTTTTATGCTGATTCGTCATCGATCAAAACATTTTTCAGTCCCACTCTTGTTATCAAATCGAAAAGTTGTTAAGAGTCCTGCGTCGTTGAATTGAACATTATTGGAGGAAGTCATGATATTATAGTTTATTTCTGACATTATCGAGCAACCAGCATGTCTAAATATTTCTTATACTCCATAACAAGATATCATGTTGATGTTGGAGGATTGGCAACATGTGCTGAATGCTGGTAGCTGATAGGAAAAAGCCCACAATTCATGCGCCGTGTTGTGTCACTTTTACTGGTTCAAATAGCCTCTAGTGTGAATTAATATAATTATTATAATTTACAAAAATTCATTATAAGCAATAAGCCACCACAAATGAGGTAAACTTTTCAGACAATAAATTTTTCATTGTTTACCAGGAATATTACCAATACATAATTGAGAAATTATGAATCATTCATTCAACGATTATATCTGACGTTTTCAATCGTATTTCATCATATTATGGTAACTATGTCATGGTCTACCCGTACTAACGAGATCTTGACGTCAGTTTTCATTTGCTGTGAAGGACCCGCACTCTTGGTATGTAAAACAATTCTCGGTTGTAGTATTTGATGAACTGATTGGATCTGCAAAATCGTGAAGTTTTTTGATGAACATATCCTGGAATACATGTCGTTAAAGTTACAGATCGTTAAGTTTTATTTAATTATTTTCTTGATATTCGAAAATGCCAAATACAATTTTTGCTGCTTATATTATTATCGTACCTCCATATAACTCAATGAAATTCATATGGTTCAGATTATGAATTTGTTCAAAGAATAAAATATAAACAAAATTCAATGATATCTGAAAATTCGATGTACTAATGGAATATCGATAAAATTATTTAGACATGCGATATACTATTTCATCATGGATCACATTTCGTACATCTCATACAGGGTGAATTGGAAAACTGGTGACACATATGTCAGATTCATTCATACACATCCAATTCAAGTGTATTGTCATCATCCAAAGATAGCTGATACCGTATAAACATGATTTCGTTGGGATATATAGGGTGATCATGAAGATTTTTGATGATGTGAATGACAAAAAATCATGTTTTTAAAAATCTCCCTGTCATTTATAATCAACTCGGTGAAATTGTCTAATTATTCTGTAAGACATATATCATTAGCTCCTCAACACTGTCTTGAAAATTCAGTTTCCTATCATCAGAGGTATTATAGTTATCAATTTAGTAACTTACCATTTGCATAAAGAGTCGAAGAGACTTGTTCAATTACATTTTCTTATAGTGGCCGGGATTCTCCACTATTTGTGAAAATGTAAACAAAAATAAGTGTAGTATTTTTCTACAGGGTGAATATATAAATGAACAATAGCAGATATATGAATTTAATAATATTATTATTATTATGTATGCGTGTATGTATAATGAATTTTTTTGGTATAAGCTCTGCCAAAATGAGGAACGAACTATACCTAGAGAAAGGAAGAACGATTTTTTCTGTCACGCTTCAATTTTTAACACGTAAAGTTGAATCCTGGAATCGACTGATTTTTTCACATTTGTTTCCTACTAAAAATCAGGCGTTTCCATCAAATATAAATAGATTCATATTCATATTACATTACAATGATATAATTGGAAACGTATGAAGGTGATATAGAAATAATCCCATTACACTGGATCTTTCCGAGATAGCAGCGATAAATATGAAGAGGTGTTGTATGGGACATAATGACATAAAAAATAGAAAGATATTTCCTTGAAATATAGGGTCTCAGAGTACCACATCTTCGAACTATTATCGAACGTCCTGCAACATTGCAAAATTCAATGATAGGTTTTGCCGGTGCTTCTGAGCTCGCCAAAGTCAAACGCTCTGGTGCAACTGTGAACTTCTAATCTATGATTCACCAAGAATCCAGACAGAACTTCCGAATTAGATATTTCAAATGATTCGATATTTTCAAATTAAAATAACTGTTTTTGTCCTGATAGGGTTTCATTATTGTATGAGAATCGTAGCGCTGCTACGGGGGAGGTGGTTTTAAGGCAAAGCCAAGTTACCTTCAGTGATCAGTGATATCCCGTACCGGGGCCTCATACCTCATACACGATAGGGCCAGTCCATCTATCCAAGCAGCATGAATTCAATCTGGCTCATGTCTGACTCACTCATGTGCCGTATATTCAGTTAACACCTGAATGGTGGATTCATTGAATGGGCTCCATGGATCATTTATGTTACAATTGATCTCCACATTCTACGTTTCACTACTAGCGGAAAATCTCGGCCACTATTCGAATATAAGTAAATAAATTCCTTCAACTCTCCATACATTGATGAACAATGAATTCCACAAACGAATTTTCCACAACACCCAATCTGAAATCAACTATCAATATTAGCGTGACGAGTTCAGTATTTTCCCGTCATTATGTCCCATGAAACACTTCTTCATATTTTCCGCTTTATTTCGAAAACATCCAGTATTATAGGATTATTTCTATATCACCTCCATACGTATTGAATTATTTCATTGAAATGTAATATAAATATGGATCTATTGATAATAATGATTACTGATAGCATGAAAATATAAAAATGATGGTAACGTCTGATTCTGAGTGAAAAAAAAATTGAAAAATCTGATGATTCCATGATTAAACTTCTCCGATAACAGATGGAAGCGTGGAAGAACGGATCATTCTGCGTTTTCCTAGGTATAGTTCCTTTTTCATTTTGTCAGAGCTTATACCATCATCGCTACATTATATTTATCTTATTAAATTTGAATACCTGCTATTGTTATTCCTGATCTCCACCTTCTAGATTAATACTACACTCATTTTTGTCTCCACATTTCTAGAGATAGTGAAAGATCCCGGCTATTTTAGGCGAATGTGGGTGAACAAGTATCTTCAAGGCTTTATGCAAATGGTGAGTTCCTAAATTAATAACTATCAAACCTGAGATGATAGAAAACTGAATGTTCAAGATAGTGTTGAGAAGCTCATGGTATATGTCTTATGGAATTATCAGGGAATTCCATCCAGTTAATCATGAAAAACAGGCTGATTTAAAAAAACGAGATTTTTTGTCATTTTTATCATAGAAAATCTTCATGATCACCCTATATATCATAACAAAATCATGTTTATACGGTATCAGCTATCTTTGCAGGATGATGATCCACTATCAGATATACAGGTTGTGTATGAATGAATTAGACATATGTATCACCAATTTTTCAAATCACTCTGAATGGAATGTATGAATTGTGATTCATGATGGAATGAGAAAAGTATATTGCATGCATAAATACTTTTTTCCACCACATCTATAAAATCATTACGAAAATGTTTTTATGTTTTACTCTGTGAACAATTACATAATTCGAATCATCTGGATTATATTGAGTATTATGGAGGTACATCAATGATATGAGCAGAAAAAATTGCACTTATTGGCACCTTCGAATTTCGAGAAAATAATCGAATGAAAATAACCGATTCGAAACTTTACCGTCCTGTATTTCAGAATCTGTTCATCAAAGAACTTCACGACTCTGCAGGTTCAATCAGTCTATGCCTCAAATTCTACAACATACTGTAAATTCAGAAAATCTCACCGGGAACCATTTTACGTAGGTAGTGAGGATGCGGGGTCCTTTTCAGCCGTTTAAAAATCATCGTGGCATCATTGATTATTTTAGCACCTAAAAATCGATCAAAAAATGTGGAATGGAAGGTTTTTGAGTGATGATATTTGAGGAATGAAGAAGAAATAGTTCATTTGCCAATTTTTTCTTCCATAAACTGCCTGAATATTATAATTTACCTCTTGTGGTTCATAGAAGAGCAACTTCTCCAAATTAAATTGAGTCAAGTTACTGTTTCAAAATTCATCAATGCTCACCTTGAAAACATTGAAACATCTCCTGGGTTTTCAGTTCTTCCTGTTCCTGTGAAGTGAGCAGTTTCACCAGTTGTTTATGGAAAGTCCTTATATCCAGAATCTGTAATGAAACTGAAGATGTAATTCATAAAATGCAAAATTGCATCAAAAATTTGATGAATATATAATGTGGAGCACATAATAATGTCAATCGAGTTATGCAGGAAGGCAACACACTACCATCTGAATTATTTATCTCGTCAAGCGGATTGCTGTTTGAAGGATTGGAGAAAAAACATATTTCATCATGAAAATTACGAAATTATCCATGTTTACATTGACCAGATTATGTTTAGGGTACTTCTTACAGACAAACTTTTCTGCATTGTCTTTTTGTCTCTCCCGAAAATGCTGGAAGGTTTCGTCTTGCATTTTTTTGCAAAAGATGCATTATAGTCATATTATAGTTATCTACCTGTTGAGAGATGAAACGCTGGTTAAACTCTCGTCAAATGTTTCCTCAAACTTTCGTATAATCATATTATGTAAGTATGTGTCGCTTAGTATTCCTGGATAAAATCTCAGCTTCCATCCATATTGATACCTCACCCACAATATCTGTATCAAAAGCTATGGAAACGACATTGCTATGTTCAGGCAACTTCGAAAAAATGAAACATAATCCGAGTGTCGGCCTCGGCATGATTTCAACATAGTGCTCCATCGACTCCGCGCTGTATGTGCTCAAGATGCTCATAAAACTTATAACAGGTATCTGGAAAATCAACACGGATAATTCTACAACGAGAAAAATCCAGTCATACGATTCTCTATTCAAAAACATCCTATTACTGCTACCTAAATGGAACATTTTGATCACGAAATTCCATCTGTTGAACGTGAAAAGGCAACATTCTCAATGTGGAAGATTTAAACTTTTCGAATAACTTTTTTTGTTCCGGAAAGGTTACCTTGAAGATTTGAAATGTAACAAGATTATAGTTTAAAGATGGAATTTAAAAGATAATGATTCGAATCCTGAAAGATGTCATCCCACAGTTATACAAGTATCATTAAAATTCCATCCCTTCTCCATTTACCATCTTTGTCATACTCGTTGACCACAATCAGTCATCCCACTCACTTATGAACACTAGTTCCATCAGAATCGTAAGTCGACTCCGGAGACCTGACATGTAAGGACATATTAGTCTGCAGCAGCTCGTGAACCCTTCTTGCAGGGTGATATTTGATTTTCCGAAAAAGTGAAGTGGTTGAAAGCTCTCCTAGAAGTATTGAGGACATATTCGTTCATTTACCTCCAAGTATAGGATTTGTTAAAGAACTACAAGAAGAGGAACTGCATCAGGGCGTTATAGTGTTTCCACAATGAATCGGTAATGTATCGGAAATTCTTTCAAGTTGGATGAAATTTTGTATTTCAAAACCAGCTCACCATTCACTATAGCAGCAATAGCTTGGATTTACACAGTTATATCGGTGATAGATTGTTTTGCGTGTACAGTGTGTCCAAGAGAAGGATGTCGTCGTATCCTAATCTTATATGTGTATATATGTACTTATTCAATTCGTATAATGTTATTTGCTGCTTCGAAATTCACAAGGATTTCAGCCAACAATTCATCAGAAGGAAAAACGCTTTTCGTTTGCGTTTCGTGATTCGTGAATCTTTATTTACTGAAGCCACCGTATACATTTTTGGCAACTATGTAAACTAATAATCTGAGGTAGTGACGAGGAGAACAGATACTTCAAATTCGAAGCATTTTTATTGTAGGCAAATTGAGATATTTTGTATTGAGTACTTCGCCCTTGTGATGCGCTTCAAAGCATATGAGAAACTCTAGTAAGGGGTACGTATATATACCAAGTAGACATGTCTCCAATATTTCTTGACGATCCTCAAACCACTTAATTTTTCTTTGAAAAATGATAATCATCTCCATTGATTACAGTGATAAGGGAACTATGTTGGCGCCAATACAATTCAAGTATCTTCCGAAGGTTATACAGTTTCGTATAACAGCTACTAGATAATATTTTACTCGGTGTATCTCCTAAAATCCCCACAATATTGTCCATACCCCAATAGTTTCTCAAGAAATGAACAAGTTTTGGCTTGAAAAAGTAATTCCTGAATGCTTTGAGAAAATTGTTTAGTCGCTGTTGATAGGCTCCAACATCAGTGAAAATTGTACCCCTTTCTAGTCACCCCGCCCGCTTATCTCTCTCAATATCCCTGATTGACGGACTAACAAATTTGTCAAAAATCAGATCAATTCTTTTGTTTTAACTTCTAAGAGGTCTCTCTTCTGGGGCCCTTACTTTGACGCTCTGTTCAGGACAGGAGACTACTCTGGTATTTGACAGGGGGAGATTTTCGAGCGCCAGATTGTTGTTGAGGTAGTTTACTCTACCTGCTCTGCACAAAATATAATTTTTTGGTACAGAGGCCCAAAGTAGCAACAGTGGAGAAAGGTACAGAAGGTATACCTACCTCGGTACCTACAGTATAAACCAGGGGTCAATGGTATTGAATCGACCTGGAATCAATAAGTAGCCACGGGAGTGTAGGCTTTAATTACAAACCCTGGGTTTGGCCTGGAATACTGGTTGCTATTTTTAGTCGGTATAATTACAAGAATCAGAACAAATTATCTTTCAGGTCTCTGGTATTTTAGGGTTAGGTCTGGAAAATTATTTATTCAAAGTATTTCATCATTTCTACCTGGAGAATCGGAAACACAGTTCTAAACGAATCAAACAGATTCAATTCCTCTTCATCTTTCCTTTTCCTTCGATTTTCGAATTCTCCAATCTCGGGATTTTGGAATAGGTTAATTAGGTTAATTATATTTTTCATTCATGCATTCATGTCAAAATTTCATGAAACATAGATCACCGCCTGACGGGACACAAAGCACAGAGACCCGGATGCACGACAGGACAGGATTTCTCGAGGAAAAGAAGAAGAAGAATTGTTAACTGGCTTGTCAGTGTTAGTCGTCACTGTCGTCAGTCAATAATAATATTCTGCAATCTTGACAAATGAAAATATTGAAAATCACTAAATAAATTATTGACCTATTTGGAACTGAAAACAATGACGACAACGAAAGAAATATGGAATATGCAATCACAAAAAAAAACGTTTATTCGTAAATACAACTTTCTGGATTCGTTCACAGGTCGGGTGAGTATCGGTTTGAAAAACAACAGGAATGAAATTAAGCTATGAACAGGATGAATAACACTGGTGAAAAATATACAAACTTACATGTGTAACAGGAAATCACTATACAATACTATTTAACACTGGTTTTGAATGAACTATGAGAGCACTAAAAGATCAGCTAGAGAATCAGGAGCTTGAAGAGCAACGGAGATCAGGTAGTGTAGACTTGTAGAGAAGAGCTTAGAGAGAGACGAATCCTTGGCTGTCTTCAGTATTTATGCACTGCTTTGGCCTTGGCACAAGGACAAGTAAATCTGGAATCTCATTGGTCAAAACTCCCACCTTGTCATGGCTCATGGCCATGGCCACTAAATCTGTCCTTGAGAAACACATGTGCACCTCCAACACAAAACGCGGAAAAAATAATATTACACCCTAAATGGGCACAGGAACAGGATCTACTACCTTTGCTTATGCTACTGAATGAATTTGGCTGGAAAATATTCAATAACAATAAAGTTATGAGCAGTCAAACATTCATCATTTCAACTGATAAATAATTCAACCAAATTTCATATCATGAGCAAAGGGTTGAAAAATATTGAAGTCTTCAGGGTTGTGATGATGTTCATCAGAGTGTACTATCTGGAAAAGCTGTGGGAAGTCAGGAATCAATGCATTACTCAGCTCTCTCAGATTTTCAGGTTTCGAGCTTTCGAACAGGTGAAATTCAACTAGCATCAGGCTCAGGTACTTAAATTTTGATCAAAACCAGTCTAGGAATGAAGCTGGTCAAAAACACTTCATTAAAAACTTTCACACAACTTCTTGAGAATATGGTTAGCTACTTGGCCAAAGGTCAGAGTATCATCAAGTGATGTTTTATTCATGCTTGGTGGAACTGTTGTCAATGGTAATGTAAATACACTCGATGAACCAAGTTTTCATCGTGGAGATAACACTTAAATCCTGTCAATTGAATTTCGTTCTAATCTTAGTCGATCTATTTTTTTTTTTAATTTCAACTTATTTTCAGATGCGTATATATGGAAAACTCACTTGTTTAGGTATATTCTAGCATCATTTTTACATCCATCAATAAAAGTATTCCTCAATATTTTTTCTTCAGTAACAATGTTCGAAAAAGAAGAGAAGAAGAAGAAGAACTAACAAATTTCAAACCTACAGATTCGGTAAGTAATACTCTGGATTCAATCAATAAGTTAAATACCTTACATTTACTACTCAACTCTTCAATGATTTCTTTTGATGTGAGTAACCTTTTCACTACAGTTCCTAAAATGGAAACTTCACCATTAGTCAAGGAGGCTCTGATTCTTGCTAATGTTGATAATGAGTGCATTACACATATTTTAACTTTTTTGAATTTTTGTTTATCACAGGATTTTTTTTTATTCAACAAAAAATTTCATCAACAACCTTAAGGGCTTGCAATGGGAAATTGTTTATCTCTTTTTGTAGCAGATATTTTTATAAATAATTTGGAAACAAAATACATTATTACTGACAACAATCCTGATATTTTACATTGGTTCGGATATGTCGATGATTGCTTGGTATTTTTGAGTGGTGACATAGGTACTACTCAGAATCTATTGATTAAAATCAACCAAGTACACCCGAATATCAACTTTACTGTAGAAATAGAATCAAACAGGAAATTGAATTTTTTCGATATCACACTCCACAAAAACACTGACAATAATCTTCAATTCAGCATTTACAGAAAAACCCACACAAACGGACCATGTCATTCCCAATTTCTCCAACCATCCTCACCAACATAAAATGGCCGCATTCAACTGTTACATACATAGACTTCTGAACATGCCTCTTTCTCCAGTCAAATATCAAGCCGAATGTAACATTTTAAAACAAATAGCTTACAATAACAACTACAACCC